ATGTGTCAGTGCTCAGGTGTGTGTGGAGAGGGAAGGATGGTGCGTGCGGTGACATGTCGTTCGTCAGGTGGTGTAGTGATGTCAGAAGAGCAGTGTGACCAATCACTACGTCCGCTGGCCATCTATCCCTGTGGTGACAGAAACTGCGCCCCCCATTGGGTGGAACAAGAATGGCAGCAGGTGAGCGTTGAAAGAACCAGTTTGTGGAAGTGTCGTTCACCTTTGAGAGAGCATGTTTGGTTCGTCTGTGTAAGATGGTGAAAATCAGAGTCCGTCCTCACTGATATGTTAAGTTTACATGTGTGTTTGCTTCATGTTCCATGGCCGTGTCAGTGTAACGCCACCTGTGGTCGCGGTGTGCGGCAGCGTCAGGTGGTGTGCGCTGGGCTGGAAGGTGGTGTGTTCAAAGAGTTTCCAGACAGTAGCTGTGACCAAAATAACAAACCAGAGACCAGCTCTTCCTGCTTCCAGAGACCCTGCTCCAAATGGTTCACCACATCCTGGTCCCAGGTAACTCCCAGTCTGAGTTTATGCAAAACTACTGATCCAAAACACTACCATAGTGATTTAAAACCACGGCTAGTGGGTTGTATATAATTACTGTACCTCCATACATAACATTCTGTGTTCATCTCATTTTGTGTGTCGTGCTGTATAAGAGCTGTGTCTGTAGGTCATTAGGTCATATTATCATTAACAAAAAGTCCTGTTCCCTCACGACCCCTCAGTGCAGTAAGACCTGTGGGAGTGGAGTCCAGGTTCGAGAAGTCAAGTGTTACCAGGGGGAGGAGCTGGTAACCAGGGGCCACAGCTGCGACTCAGCCCTCAAGCCAGAAGCCAGACAGAGCTGTGAGATCCAGAGCTGTCCGACAGACGCACCAGGTACGAAAACAAACACGGGGTGTGCTTTCACTGGAGCTGATGCAACATGTCAGTACTCTTACAGCTCGCACATAAATCAACTCCCAGATGCATCACTGTGACTGTTTTTCTGCAGTGTCCTAACGAATTAAGTGGAACATTTAGTATTTTTCATGTCTTCATTTTTGATGTCTTTCATGCTTTCGTGCAGCAGCGGCTCCAGCAGCATCAGTAGCGGTAGACGACTCCTGCCAAGATAAGCCAACAGCCAACTGTGCCCTCGTCCTCAAAGTGAAACTGTGCTCCCATTGGTACTACAGAAAGGCCTGCTGCCAGTCCTGTAAGGCACCAAAACCCTGAGGTCTCAACTGTAACCTCCCACCTTGTCCCCTCAACACCAACCACTGGTACCAACGGTCACACCACATCCTTTTTGGTGCTACACAAAAGCCTGCTGCTAGCAATGTACGGCCTTAGGACATCGACATTTACCTTATTAATGTTAGCCTATCACTGATGTCAAAGGTCAATCTGTGGTCACTGTCTTCTACTTGTCAATGTTATTCCTTTGCTCTTCTAACCTCATGTCAAACATTTTGTTAATCCTTTTTTTGAGGAAGCATCATCACTACTAAGAATAATGCAATCATAACAACTCGTAGTGCAAACAGTACTACAGTAAAGTAGTTTTGCACGTGTCCTGCTCTGTAGCAATATTTTACAACTGGAAATTTACTTAAAATACTGAAAGCATCAACCGTGACACAACAGACAAGCTCCTCACACAGAGGCCCTGACCACCTCCTACCCAGACAATGTGAAGATAGACTAGCTTTAGACACACTGGGATGTCTGTTCATCTGTTCTCCACAACAGCACATGCAATTCAGTCTTTTAAAATAACCTTTCTCCAGTGTTTCCAGTACTTTATTCTGTATCTCACTATTTTAATGGATAAAATCCCTCTTCATCTGTCCATCACTCCAAGTATGTCCCATCAAGTTCTGTTTGGTAAATGTCTATAATCTCTCCATTACCTCACTCCTTTCTTTAAGGTGCTACGTTCCATGAAGAAATAGTGGATCCAAAGTTCATGAAAGACCAAATGCAGCTTTGTTGTTAGTGTGGCAAATGACCAGGACAAGACCTGGGAAACATTGTGACTGGGGGGTTCTCAGCGTTTGTCTCGTCCTGTCCTGCTTTACATACACAGCCTCAGACAGACCGCTTGGTTCAGCTGTACTGCTGGTGCATTGATGATTTGTAAATATGCTCTTTTTCTGCCACTGTCCATTTTGACTACAAAATAACAAGCTGCAGCACTTTTGTACTGCATCTAGCAGGCGCTCAAAACAAACTTTGAGACAACTACAACATGAAGACAGGCATCAGTCCATGGTAATTCAACTCACTGCAACATTAGCTCACATAAGAAATCCCATTCATTCATTCAAAGCATAATACTGAAAATCTACTTTTAATGCACTCCTATAGATGCTTACACTACATCAACAAAACTCACAGACAGCAAAGTAAAAACACTTTGTCGCTTCACCTAGTGGAACAAGTCTGGTGTCATCAGAGACAATCATGAGGCTGCATCCTTCATAAGTCTAGCTTTAGACTGAACAAACAGTTTAGTGTTCTACATAAAAAGGTGGACTTTTGGGGACATTTGTTTATAGGAAATTGTTTATGGTCTAATCCAGACTGGGATGAGAATCAGCACCATCAGTGTGATCCCGGTCTGTCTTCAGTTGATATATGTCCAATATGTTTTGAGCCTTGCTTAGCACAAAGCCTGGAGGTAGTTAGAAACTAGTGGCATACTGTATATAACACACCTTTCTGTCAAGAATGAAACAAATCTTCAAACAACAAGCTGTTATTTAAACCTTGTTTCAAAACTTTTGTAGTGTGATTCTAAAAGAGAACGCTCTTTTAGAATCACACAGTCTGTTACAAGTGATCCCGAGGACACCTGACGACTTTTTCTCTAGAATGACTTTGGATAGCTTGAAACAATAAAACTGTCCAATTTGTGAAAGTAATTAAGTCAATGAAAGTGCTGTGAAAAGTAGCATCTGCAGGTACATGAATTCCTGAGAACATGGTTACTTTCACGTCAGCTTTTCACATGTGACGACTCAAGTAGGAAGTAAACGGAACTGTTGAGTTACTGTACAAACAGAGCAGAAACAGCTGAGGAACAGGACTGTGGTGCTGCACCAAGATTGCTGCCAGTGAAGACTGTTGGGGCCAATCTCATCTATCCAAAACACTGTGTAAACATGACTGTCAGCGTCGGGCAGAGTGTTGTTTACCTATTGTGACACTGCCCACAGAGCTGCTGCTGCTGTTTTTGTTTACTGTATCACACAAAGAATAAAAGAGCAGCTGTTTTTTGACAAGAAGCGTGTCTGGCCTGTGACTGCTGCTCCTCCTGGTGGACTAACACTGGACTGAATGTAGAGTTTGGCCACTTGCCCATTTCTGTGATTCACACTTCTCTTAAATGTGATTACATCCTAACCATCGGGATTCTGGAACTGGAGACAGAGTTTTTTTTTTTACTTCACATAGATGGTTAAGCCTCCAATTGATTAAAATGTAAACGTGATAGAGCTTTTTATCCAGACTGCTCACTGTTTACTGGTATTTGTTTACAGGCTAGTATTGCCCAGTCTAATATAGTGACGACTAAGACCTATTATCCAACTGCTAATGCAGCGTCTATGTATATATGTCTATGTGCATGCATAGAACCCACTACTGTTATGGATGTTTTCTGGATTAGGGTGAAAGGAGAACTCAGGCAGCAGTTGATGTCTTAGGCAGAAGATTTTAATGTAGACTTGATGCATCAAGAAGACCAGAAGGTGGAACAATATACAAACACTAACAGAGCAACATGAGCAATTGTCACCCCAAGTGTGAAGATGTCTCCCACAGCATCCCCATATATCTTGCTCTACTTGTGTCACCCATTCCCAGTCACTCTCTATGTTACATGTAGGTGTTCTGGTGTCTCTGTCTGGCGCAACTGAGTTAGATATGAATGTCTCTAAGTGTAGACACTACAATGTTCTGTTGGTTGGTCCTTTATCTTTAGATAGATAGATAGATACTTTATTGATCCCGAAGGAAATTCAAGCATCCAGTGGCAGTAACATACATTGAACATACATTAGACTTGACTTATGCATTAGAGTTAACTTATAACACAGTAACCACATGTAGAAATTGGCCTGAGATGAATGTAAATTTAAATGTGTACAGAGGAAAGCTAAAATTAAACAACTGAAGCAAAATTAAACTTAAACAGAGAATTAAACATTTGCATAAGAATTCAATATATACAGAGGAATTAAAAATGTGCAGGAATATTAAATATTTGCAGAAYATGTGCATAGAAAATAAATATAGAACTGTGTTATGTTCACCCATGCTAATCGTCTATACAAAAACTATATAAAAATTAGAAGGTAACTATAGAAATAAAAATGTTTTATACAACTATAAACTATTTTAAAAATATAAAGTGACCGTAGAAGATTGTATAGCCTGACCTTGGGTACTGCTTGAAGAGAGAATGGAGAACCTGCAGAATTAGACAGGCACTCTTCTCTTAATGGTGTACAGATATAATGTATGTCATGCATTATAGACATAATATATATAGTATACAATAATGTGGTCAGAAATGCCTCAATAACCACGTCTTGAAGAAAGATAGCTTCAGGTTGTGGTGTAAAGAATCTGCAGGCAGAATATTGAATAAGAAAGTGAAGACGTAAAAATCTTACAGTTCAATGGTGACCAGCTTAACCCTGGTAATTCAAGCTGAGAACCAAACAGAGGAGGTCTATGGGTAGTTGCTGTATGAATGAAGAAGCACTAAAGAAGCTATCATCAGAAACATGACCTGCTCCCTGTGCTGTGTATGGGAAAGTGTCATAATTGACCAATGTGTTGTTTAGAGCACTCGCCTTACCTGGGACAATTAGCATTGTCATGGTTACAAGAGATGGGATCCCAGTAGATCACTCCCAGGTGAAACTAAATCACACAGGAGCGCACACCAATTACTCGTGTGAACTGGTCTCGACAAAAGCCACTCTGGGTTACAGACAGCCAGGAAGAGGAGCTCCGGGTGATTTCATTTCATGTTCACATCCAGGAACAGTCCAACTGTTATTTCAATGTGGCTGTGAAGGATTCCTTACAAATCTTTGTGTCTGAGTGCAGGAGAAGAGCAGCAGCTGCAGAGAGAAGGTGAGCATGGCCACATCATATCACAGCTGATGTTCAGTGAGAGCAGGTGAGAGACATTATATGCAGGAGACTGGGTTTTATTTCCACACTTCAGATATGTTGGTTAAAACGGGGGTAAAGTTAACATTCAGGATCATCAGTCTAAGTACAACACAACTTCAACTCCTCTGTCAATGGTTCTACTCAGGTTACATGATTAGAAATGGCAGCCTGCTTGTACCACAAGAGCCATATTAGCAAACTATAAAAATTTGAAAATCAGTATAAAAGCAGTATTTTGATTAATGTGAATTGGAATTGTGGGATATTAAATATTGAAACAAGGAAGCTCACTGTAAGGAGCAATAAACAGAATCACTCTCTCTGTCAGTTTCCTTATGCACACACACTACCGCTGAGTATGGCAACATTTAAAAAAAAAAATGACACTAACAATGCACAGAAGTGTGAAGTGAATTCAGCATCAGTGTGATAACTGACAGAAGGAACAATAGCAGCACTTGACCCTGAAGACACAGGTAATGAAGATGTGATGATTAAACCTGCACTTAAACATGAACTACTTGACTAAAGATTTGATACACCCTGCTGTATACACTTTCAAGATTTTCTGGATTTCCTTCCATCCACAGACTGACAGCAGTGTGCTGTGAAGTCTGTCATCTTGTTAAAACAACAGATGAAATTTGGGATTTAGTTTAAAGTTTAGTTTGAGGCCTGGTTTGGCCGAGCATTTAGATGATGTTCAGTTTTTTAAGTGACTATCTGGTCAGACTGATTCTCTGAGATGTTTAGGGCCAATTACAACGACCTCAGTTTTGTCTGAATTTAGAAGTAAGACGTTTTGGGTCACCAAGGCCTTAATGTTCTTGAGACATTCCTGAAGTTGAACTAAGTGATTAGATTCATCAGGCTTCAGAGAAATGGACAGCTGGGTGTCGTCTGCGTAACAATGGAAGTGTATGTGGTGCTTCCTGATGATGTTGCCTAAGGAGAGGATATATAAGGTGATCTGAGTGTGCCTCAAACAGATAGTCTGTAAATAAATTTGGGAACCACTAGTTCAAATTTAAAAATGCACTGAAGATAACGTAATTGTTTCATAAGCTATAGAATGTAAAATCATTATCTGAATGGTAACTGCTGTAATATTGTGAAAAACATATAATATGAATATTATATATATAAAGTTATGTGAATAAATGTACTTAGCTACTTTGCAGTACTATACTGTGGTTCCTTCATGACTCACGTGCAGTGTCCTGCTGCAGGAAATCATCATTGCAGCAGCTTTGGGGAAAAGCTTTTCAAAACAAAACTTTATATTTGAGACAGTTTTCCAAACAGGATTTCAATCTTCAGTTGGAACTAGTGGACTTCATGCTGAGAAATGAACTAATGCAAATATAGAATGAAAACAAAGGGACCCTCTAATCACTTGCAGTGCAGATTGAAGCAGAGTTCAATGAGCTGTCAGAACCAGAGCAGGAGTTGTGGAGCTCTTGATATTATCGACTCTCTGGGAACAAAACCATTGCATGCTCAATAAAACCCAGATGGGTGCGAATGTCTATGAACCTCTGAATGTGCATTTCTATGAGTTATTACATTATTGAGAAATCCTTACATTATATGTTTTTTTTACAGAGCCTATAGCAGCGCTGTAAGGTTCCAGTTTGACTTGTGTCCCTGTCCACTCTTCACTTCATTAACTGCTCTGTTGTCCGAGGCCTCACAGGAACATTGGTGTCTCAAAGCGGTTGTGGTGTCACATGTGTGTTAGGAATGAGGGTTGCTGGGACATTTCTTGGAGCCGTGAATCCGACATGATGTGAAGCTAACACCTGACTCCGTCGTCTCCTGTCTGTTGCAGATGCCTCCTACAGCCCCTGCGTGTCTATTCATATTCATGTGTGTGTGCTGCGTGGAAGAATGTGTGTGTTTCCCCAATGGCTCGGTGGCATTTTCCTGTGGCAACATGATGCCATTCCACCCTCCCTTCAGCCCCTCCACCAGTAACCCTCCATTCACTCTGACCACCTCTAGTGCCACCTACACGCCTGGTGGAGTCATTACAGGTATGAATTCTGCAATATTCCATTGTTACTTTATGTGTCAGGTGTCAGGTGCTTCACTGTATCTAACAGGAATTATATCAGAAATATGTATTGTGCAAATATATGATATATAATTAGTCAGCATGCTAAACAGCTCTGGTCACTTACTGATAGCGAGTCTTTAAGTGTCCAGTCTGCTGCTCAGAGGGATTATTATTGCTTTTGGTCAGTAATCATCTCCAACACCCTCCCAGCAGGAAACCACGCTCGCTGCAGAGTAAACCTACAAATGGCAGCTCTAAATAAATCAGTTCTATGAGTTCATTTGAACAAATAAGTGAAAAAAGGGTCAATTCAAAACTTCACAGAGCTAAGATGAGGTGGATCTGCACACCCAAACATTTTGTTTAGTAGTTTTCTTCTCAGATGTGTGACTTCAATGTTGTGATAAAACTCATAATTAACAGATCATATTGGGGTTGTGAGAGAGACCAGGAATTTCATCTGCACTCTCTCCTCATCTTGCCCTCTGTTATCTGTCTCCTCTCTTCACTCCTCTTCACCCCCCTGCTTCTCCCAACTTCACTTTCCACTCCCCTCTCATTGACCCCGCCCTCTGTCCCAGGGTTGGTGTTCAGTAATAGATCAGAGGTCAGAGGTCACGTTTGGAGGAACTCCCTTTGACTGCAGTCCTCCACACAGCCCTCGTTTCTCCTCCAGCATCAAACGTCTTTTTTTTAGGGTACTCGCACATCCACTTTTGAATGGCCTTAGGTGCAAAGAAATTCCAATTTTCCTTCTCCCCCTTCTCTTTCCACTAACATTCTCTCATTTTACCCATAATGCACTTTTGCATGATATTGGGGGATTCTCCCTGCAGCGTCTGCAGTGAGCCTGGCTCATGTTACAGTGAACCCCTCCCCACTCTCACCTGCATGCTTCTCTCCTTGCAGTGACAGTGGAGGGGGTGAAGAACAGCTCCACAGAGTTCCAGGGTTTCCTGTTACAGGCCAGGAGCAGACAGGGAAATGGTACAGAAAACCAAACACTTTATTTGCTTGGTCATTTAGGACATTATGAACCGAATGTGTGTCTATGTTGGGTTTCTTTGTCACAAAATAAAGATCAGGATTACATTTTATTTACCGCCCTAAATACATAGAATGAGCTTTTTCTTCTTCTGCTTCTAGCTCTGCTGTGGCCTGTGGGAAAGTTCAGCAACATTGACACCAGCCTGTTTACGGCACTCGCCTGTCAAAACATGGAGGTATGTGTGCGTGTGACATCCCTGCTGGGTCTTGGCTGATTGAACATGACAACATCCCGAGGCCGTCCTCAGGCCTGGATATTTGGCATGATTGCTACATGCATTGACATTGACTGGGTCCGATTAATTGGAGACTTACATTAGTCTGTAGGTGTGTTTGTTTGTCATTTGTTTGTCATTGTTATTTCTGCAGAATTGCTGCAATTTGCTTTCGTTGATAAAATCACCAATTAGCAGAACTTTTCTCCATAATCGACAAAATTAATATATAGTAAATGCAACATTTTCTTTTGAATATATCAACATGAACATAAAGAGTTTAAAAGAAAAGCAAAAAGAGTGTGTGTTTGTGTGTTTGTGCGTTTATGTGTGTGTGCAGAACTCAACTGTTAGTCAGGCATCAGGAGCCAAGAGGAAGAAGGTCCAGCTAACCTGGGAGGCTCCTCGCAACAGTGACTATGGTGATATCTACTTTAGGTAGACCATGTTACACACACACGCACACACACGTGAGGATTGATACAGTTTCCTCATCCAAACAATAGTCTGATTCTAATCTGACCCCATCATGGGGTGTAGTCATGTCTGTTACTGGTACTGCAGCTGAGCTGGTGGGTAGACAAATGTCAATTAGACTGTCATATCCATCACAGTGGGATGAACAGATCAAAGTGACAGGACCTGATCTGACTCTATAATAAGAAATATTTACCTCTGATGTAACTCACTCAGTTTCATGTTCCTGTTGTTGTTGTTGTTGTTGTTGTTGACATACAGTGCCACTCTGGTTCAGGACTACACAACATTCTGGGTTCAACTCAACAGCAGCTCTCTGAGACTGGACAGCAGTGGAAACTCTGCAGCTGGGGTAAGTACTGACTCACTGAGTCACTGACTGACTGAGTCACTGACTGACTGACTGACCGTGTCTGGTCTCTCATGTCAAAGCTCTGCTGTGATGCTGGTGTGTTTCTCTCTTCCCTCAGATCATCTCTTCCTCAGCTCTGCTCTTCATCAACCTGTTGAGTCTATCTGCCTACTGCTGACACACACACACACACACACACACACACACACACACACACACACACACAATCTTTATCAACAATAGTTGTCTTCTGAGAACACGTCATGGCTGCCGTCATGATGAATAAAAGGTTTCTTTGTGAAGCTGAAGAGTTTCAGTTCATTTTCTATTGTCCAGAGGTTGTGTGGGTGCAGATCAGCTGTGTCTCTACATCCTGGAGGCTGCATTGAAGACAGATGGAGTCACAGCAGTGTGACCCGGCTGTTTTCAAATGCTTCTTCAAATGTCGCTGAGAAATGTGTCCTTTAATTCCTGAGCAACATGTGCAACAGGATCTATTGTGCACTGGTGATAAAAGGCTTACAAAAGAGAGAATATGGTGACAAACTCCAAAGACTCAACGGAGTCTGATGACGACATTTTGGAAGTGTCAAGCTTAAATTCCATGAAACAGCAACGGTACAGTGACAGTGGCTCACCGGAGCTAAGGATGCAACAAGGACGGGACAAGCTGCAGATAAGAAGGCAACACCGTCTCATTTCAGTTCGGCCTCTGAAGGATGCAGGCCCATTGAGAGGCAGCTATTAAATGATGTAAGTGATTCGTATGGCTGTTGGTGAAAATTTAAATTATTTTCACTTTCTATTTATCAGTGAGATTTTCAGCAACCACAAATTATGTTTGTTTGTTTGTCTATTTTTATTCGATGTTAATTCTTTACACAAGTGCCACTTAAATTTGACAAATATAACGGTGTAAGTCAATAATGAAAATATTTTATTGAAATACAAAGCAAGTGATTATCAGTCGTTTTTATATGTTCACAGTATTTCAGTATATTGATATGGACATATGAGAGACACTCTGTGAGAAGCAGTATAATATAATATAATGTGATATTATATAATATAATATAATGTTAAATAATATAATATAATGTTAAATAATATAATATAATGTTAAATAATAAAATGTGATATAATCTAATGTTATATAATATAATTTAAGGCCTAGATATCGGTTGGAGGAAGTGAGCAGATCTTTCCAGTTTCATACACAACTTGTCTGCGGTGCCTGGGGTCTGTCTCCACCTGGTGGCTTGTAGTGATACTGCATCTTGAGACTTCTGAAGAATAACAGCAACACAAAAATGAGTTTTTATATATATGAGCATAATTCAAATAAAAAGTTGAGAATGCTCTCCAGGATGTAGGCGTACATGTTTCAAGAGAGGCTTTCATGACCAGAACCTCGGAGGAATCACCACCACATTCAGGCCTCTGATAAACATCTGAAACTGACAGGACAGGCACAGACACGGTAAGAAATGGAACAAAGGTCTGTTGAATTATGAAACAGAAATCCTCCTGTAACAAAATGACCAAGCAGATTTACTGACTGAAGAGCAGAAGAAGAGCAGAAGAAGAGCAGAAGAAGAGCAGAAGAAGAGCAGCAGAGCAGCAGAGCCTCGTGGGTCAGATCATCACAGGACCCAGATCCATTAACCATCCACCCCTGCTGGCAATGCATTGCATGGGGTGAAGCACTTATTTTTATTATGGGCACCCATAATAAAAATAAGCCCCCCACCCCCCCATACCAGGAAGCAAGTAATGAGCCTTTATTTTGAAAATAAGCCCCCCCATTGTAATAGAATGTTACCAAGAAACATGTTATAAGCCTTTATTTTGAAAATAACAATAAACAACCCCCCCTATAGTAATAGGGTGTTACCAGGATGTCTGTAAAGAGCCTATATTTTGAAAATAAGCCCCCCCATTATAATAGAAAGTTATCAGGAAGTCTGTACAGAGCCTATTTTTTCAAAATAAGCCCCCCCATAGTAATAGGATGTTATCAGGAAAACTGTACAGAGCCTGGTTTTTCAAAATAAAACCCTAGAGATAGTTCACTGACCTTAAAAGGAAGCCTGAAGGAGGCTGGATTTCAAAATAAACCCCCCAAATAGTGACAGGATGTTCCCAGGGACTTGAAAAAAGCCCCAGATAGTAACAGGATGTTACCAGGAAGCCTAAAAAAGACAGGATTTTCAAAATAAAATCCCCAGATAGTTAAGGGATGTTCATAAGAAGCCTAAAAAGGGCTCTACTTTCAAAATAAAATGCCCAAATAGTTACAGAATGTTCCCAGGAAGCCTGAAAGACACTGGATTTTCAAAATAAAAACCCCAGATAGTTAAAGGATGTTCCTAGGAAGACTAAAAAAGGCTGGATTTTCAAAATAAAACCCCCAAATATTTAAGGGATGTTCCCAGGCCTCTGTTCCCCTGAAGGAGGCTGAAAATTTTTAAATAAATCCCATGGATGGTGATCAGACCTTAAAACCTTATAACATGGTTTCTCTCTCTCTCTGAAATTAGTTGCTGTAAGGAATAAAAACTCACGTTGATGGATATACCTGAATGTCCTTGCTCGTTTTTTCCTGCATCACCCAGCCGTTAATGGTCATTCTAACAGGGTTGCTTCCCCAGTCTGTGCTCTCTCTCCCTGAGCAGCTGCCACCTGACATCATGGCCTCCGTATTGGTTTAGTTTGGTTTGTTTCTACTCAGTTTCAACACTCTCACCTACACTTTCCCTCATGCACACACGCCTTACACTACTGATACTCACCATACACAATTCATCATCTGAGTTGAATTCTTTGGTTATTTGAATAAATTCCAGGAACTTAATGTATTTTTAATATCAGGCCAAAGAAAATGTCATGCATCTATTATTTCAGAGTGAGATCCACAGCGCTTGTGGTTATTATTCATATCACAAACAGCCTCACTGACCTTTTGACCATTTGAGGCTGCCGCACACACGAGCACACTCTTACTACCTTGGCCAAGCTCTTCAAGAAAACAGACCTGAAGTCATATTGTACAGTATGTCCGCCTAACACCCCTCACATGCTTCTTTTTAATAGTTCATGGGTTACGAGGACAGGGAGATCTGAAAAGGAGCAGTGAGGAGAGAGACTGAAATTTCGTACACTACGTAGGCCAATGTTTACAATAGAGCAGTGGTTATTTCTTTGGTTATTTGAATAAATCACGTTGTTTCGGCCTTATCGGTGTGTGTGATTTCACTGTTGTTACAACCCTGAGCTAAGCTGTAACAAATGGGGGCTCGTCCGGGATGTCACACGATCCCTTTTCTGGTTAGTGTTCTTCAGTGGTTAATGGTTCCCTTTGTGGGTAAGTAACCTAGTGCTGCATATTGTGGGGAGAACCTAATATTTGGGTTTTCAGTGAAAACACTACAAATTTTTTTTTGAACAGTAATGTCAATGGGTGATTCTCACATGTGGTTTTTAGTTGATCTGCCTGGGTTGCGAGGTTTAGTGGTTGTCCATGCTGGTTGCTTCACCGAGTCATCGGGCTCTGTGTTTAATCTGCCCACCACAACTCTTGCATGAAGACTAGAGGTTGAGTTAGCTGGCTAGTTCCTTGGTTAGGTAGGTAGATAGGGGAAAGCATGCTCCATATCTGACTGCTTGGTTGCACACCAGTTTTAGAGTTGCTGTAGCTTATTGTGGCCAGTGTGAAAAGGCTGATTGGTTTCCTGGGGAACATAACTAGGTGTTAAGCCATTTAGCTTGCCAGGGTTGGGCGATTATTATGGGTGCATTGGCACTTATATTATTATTCCTGAAACTTTCTTTGTTTATTTTTCTTATTTCTTCTTCCCATTTTTTCGTCCAGCTACTCCTACCACAGATTTTGTCGCACATACTCGAGCCCTTAAAAAAAGAGAATTACGTTGAATGCTGTGCTATGACTTTTCTAAGAATTTCGTCCAATAGTTCGCTCAAAAATCGCGAAAACGCGGCCGAAATCGACAAATGGGACTCAATGCTGATCACTCAAAAGAGCGAGAGGCCAAAACCGTCTGTTTTTAGCCACTTTTTTCTGTGTTTAAACACTTCTAGGCATGGACGAAATTTTGATTTTAGAGGTGGGGGGGACACAAGTATTTTTAATAAAACCCAAACTCTTTCAGTTTACTGTGTTTTCTGGCAGTTCTTCTAGTTTTCTATTGTTACTAGGGATGCACCAATACCACTTTTTTTAAAACCAATACAACGCACAAGCATCTGGTGGAGGAGTAACTCGCCTCTGATCGCGGTCTTCATGCAAAAAATGGTATCGGTTCTTGGTATCTGTCACGATGGCAGGGTGGATAGGCAGTGGACCCAAACGCAGACATCAAGGCAGGCAGGTGAAGTGCAAAAATATTTAATAACAAAAAATCACCTCTTCGAGGGAGAAAAACCAGGCGATACAAAAATCAAAACCAAATCCAAAAACAAGGGGAAACAAAGGAGACTAGATAAAACTATGACTGAACAATGACTATAGCTGTGACTATGAACGAAAACAAGACTTACATCAAACTCACGACAGATAACCAGAGCAACATCAACAATGTCTATAAAACCTCTTTTTGACAAATGAAAAGTGAACAAGGGTCAATTTGCCCAAAGACCACAGAAAGGTCAACATACAGTAATCAACTCATCCAAAGCTTCCAAACACATGTTGTCTTCGATCACTGGCAGAGATAAATTCCTGGCAGAGMTTTTTCCTGTCCAAGGCGTCAACCCTTTCTTGGTGTATGTGACAAACTGCCACATTGTTCAGGCGTTTCTGCTTCATGCAGTTGCGAAYCCAGGTCTTTAACCTCCTCAGTGCGCTGAAACTCCTCTCAGCTTCAGCTGARGATGTTGGAACAACCAGCAACAGCCTCACAAGGACCTCCACCTGATCAAAAAGACCTCTGACTTCAGGCAGCATGCCTCTCAGGYTGTCTGCAGCTTCTTTGCTTGATATYTAGGTGTTTTTTGATTTGAACATGGCTAACTGCACATCCAACATCCTCCTGTTAATCTCTGGATACTGGTCCACAATGGCATCACTTTTTCCAGTTACAAGCACATTCTCCAATTTCTGAAGAACTTCAAGGCTTGCTTGATGAAACCGCTCTCTGAATTGCACATCTGCTGTGTCAAGGATCTGGAAGAACTCCCTTCTGAAGMAGTC